TCCTGACATATCTGTTTCTTTACTTTTTCTTTCCAAGGTGCTTTAACCAGGAACTTTTATGGGCTTTTACTGATCTAGGGGCAGTCTAGCCCCTCAGACTAACACAATCTTGTGGTTGGGTTTCTATACAGGCCCTCTCTCCACCCTACTGCTTCTCCCACATTTCAAAAAACTTTAGGAAATAGTTGGAGACTTTGCTCAGTTATTTTTTAGGATTATGTTGTTTTGAGGGAGTAGATCACTTTTTCAAAAGAGAGAAGGATGAAAACAAAGAAGATATTCCATTTCCCTTGGATGATGTGCAGTTTTGTGAATAGGAAATTGGACAGTAAAGCCCTGCAAATCTCAAGGATGATGATTCAGTTCGAGTGTTAGTACATCTCCCTTGCTTTTATACTCCTTTGACTTTTGTTTCCAGGGCTTGGAGATATTTTATTCTTTATTTGAACCACTCCCCAGTGATGTGCAGGAGAGAAAACCAACTCAATCTAGTCCATCTTTAAAGTAGAAACAACTGCTCTGTTGTGACCTGGGAGAAGAAATAAGTTGAAAAGAACAGTGACTCAGATAATGAGGTAACAGATCTGAAAGTGCCAGCACAGGAAGGACACAGAATAGGAATTTAATAAAGGGGGTTTTATACACAGTACAGCAGTTTCTGCCACCCTGGACCAGAGGAGATTTTGTCTCCACCCCAAGGGTATTTGCCAGTGTCTGGAGACATTTTTGATTGCCATGACCTGGGGGTGATCCTGGCATCTAGCAATATTGGTAGCAGCTTACTATGTCACAAACTACCCTAAATTAACCCCTCCACCTCAATTAGCCCTCACAATGTAGCATGGCAGTACAAGATTTGGAGCTGACATTTTCAACATTATTAATAGCAGGGGGCAGACCCAATATGATAACCAGAGACCAGGGTTGCTGCTTAATATCCTAAAATGCAAAAGGGAATACCCTACAACAAAGAGTTATCTGAACCTGCAAAAGTGCTGAGATTAGAACACCTTACTATAAATAAATGTACAATGTCTGCTTAAGTAGTAAGTAATAGTGTTGATCCTTACTTGATTATATTTTAAAGTAATTGCAAATACATTTCTGTAGCTTTCCATTCAATGCCTGTTTCCAAAGTTAGTCTAGGTAAGATTCCTCAACAATGAATAGTCTCTATCAAACAAAGCCTGTAAAAAGTATCACCAGTGCCCCAAACTGGAACGTTTAGCACACTAAAACAAAGTTATTTATACAAATCTAATGTGCCTCTAACTTTTAAGAGATTTGCATAAACCAGGAACACCTATCTACGAGATATCATTTTCCTTCACCCCTCTTCTTCCCTTTCTCAAGTAGATATTAATATACACGCAAGTTGCCTAGGATTTTTCCTCTAGTCTTTAGAAATATCCCACTTGCTTTGAAATACTGCCTAAAATGAAATAAACACTCTTTTTTTTTTTTTAAATCTAAAAATAAAAAGGGGTTGACTCCTCAAGAATTTAGGCCAATTCCATTCTTGTCACATTCTTAACTGGACTCAGAGACAGAGTTCTTAAGAGCAGACTAAGATATGTGGCTTTCCCTGTGTCCTGTGACAGCCAGACCCACCATCAGCTTGCTGTGTCACGGATTACCTAAAGTAACTCCTCCACCTCAAGAAACCCTCACAATGTAAGATGGTGGCTCAAGAATAGAAGCTGACATTATCGGCATTATTAATAGCAGGTGGAAAATCCAGTGTGTTAAACCAAACAAGCTGGTCCTGTCATGTGTCTTTTGTGTGTGTTGGGATGCTGACAGACAACTGCCAAACAGATATGGGGTTTGAGACCAGAGTTTGAATCTAATCCTTAGCTGACTGACTGTGGGCCTTTTATCAGACAGAACAGCATGTGGTATAGATGGCAATCTCTTTGCGGAGAAAGTTCTAAGAACAACCCAGTGCAGTTCCAGAACATCTTTAGCATTTCACGTAACCCACTGTGGCAGGTCACAGATTGCTTGGAATGCCCAAAAGGAGCCAGGAAGTGCTCTCCAAAGAAACCTTCTGCAGTGAGGAAATGTTATGTATCTGCTGTGTCCAGTTCAGTTGGCCACTAGTGCTGTGTGGCTATTGAGCATTTGACATCTGACAGTGTGACTGAAGATATGCATTTTTAATTTTACTCCGTCCTATCCACTATCAGGAAAAAAAAACAATGCCAATCTAGGACACACAGACTCATTTTTCCACATCTTAATTATAGATATCCTGATTCCTTTTTCTATTTAAAAATTTATTTTAAAAATTATAGAATGTTTAGAAAATAATGTTGGTCCCCACAAAGGTTGGTCAGTATGTAGAGTCAGTAGACCAGGATCAGAAATAGCCTTTTACCTCTTTAGAGCGAGTTGATCACCCATAACCTGAGGCTTCCCCTCAGGGGATGGGTGTCACATTTCCTGCCACTCACCTGCTATGTTTGTAGACTTTCCTTCTTTCAATCTTTGCCCTGCTCTGTGCTAGTGATAATTCTAATGCCAATCCAGTCTAGTAGGAATTATGCTTCTAATTCTAGAGCCTCCCAATCCTGGAGTAAGGTGCCTGCTTATCACATTACCTTGCCTCTAGCCCAGTGGTTCTCAACCTTCCTAATGCTGCGACCCTTTAATACAGTTCCTCATGTTGTGGTGACCCCCAACCATAAAATTCTTTTCGTTGCTACTTCATAACTGTAATTTCGCTACTGTTATGAATCATAATGTAAATATCTGTGTTTTCCGATGGTCTTAGGTGACCCTGCTAGTGGTTCTCAGCCTGTGGGTTGTGACCCAGAGGTTGAGAACCACTGCTCTAGCCTATCCATAGTCTGCTGTGTTGTATTATGTCTTCATTGGCTAGAATAGTGGTCGGCAAAGTGCGGCTCTCGAACCACACGTGGCTCTTTGGCCCCTTGAGTGTGGCTCTTCCACAAAATACCACGTGCAGGCATGCACGTACAGTGCGACTGAAACTTCATGGCCCATGTGCAGAAGTCGGTTTAGAAAATAAGGGGAAATTCTGTTTACTCCTCCTAAATTCATGAGCCTAAGAAAATTGTTATGAATTTGGTCAGTTTTCAAGATTGATTTCTATGTATTTTTATATGAACTAGATATTTTGTCTTTATTTCCTGTAACCAGCTTTTTCTACTTAACGTTATGAAAGGAATATATTTCTGTGTTACTAAATAATATTTACAAACTATCAAAGCTAACAGCTACTTGTTTCTTAGACTAAGGAGCACATTTTGTTTTCTCTATTTTTAAAATGTTTGGATTGTTTCATTTTTTTTGTTTTTTTTTTGTTTTGTTTTATGGTCATTATAAAATAAAGCTGTAGTAAACATATGAAACAACACTTCTTCACTTTAGAATGCATTTACCCGCTAAATGTTTGACTCTTAGTAAGGTAATGATGAATCATTTCCCTCCTACAGATTCAATCTACAAAAGTACTTTTCACTGTTCTTGTGAAATTTCACTATTCTTGTAAAGCTTCTACAAGGGTAGAAAGCCAAGACTTTTCTCTCTGCAGTATAGTAATTGAATAAATTATGAAACGATTAGTATTCCTTCCCATATAACAAAACAACTCCTAATACAATATAACTAAACTCAGGGTTGATGGCACAGATCTTTGCTTTGCTAATAAGTTCCCAGGCATAAATCCAGCAAATAAAATAATTCACGTGTTCAGATAATTTGCAGACACTCTAGAATCTCTAAAGATGAGAAAATTAACAAGGTTAAAAATTTGTTTTTATGTTGTTCTCGGTAAATTTACTTATTTATAGTGTCCCATCTCCAAACTAAAATTTTTTTTATCATTTAAAGCAATATAAATATAATCCAAGTAAATTTGCACACATCTTAATTATGCTGAAGATCTTGGCTGAAGACATTTTATATTTTGCATACTGGGAAATTGTCATGTAGCTTTTAAAAAAATTATTTTTAAATAAATTATATATTCTGATGGCAATGATCATCAAACAACAAAGGGATCCTACTGATAACACAGAAAAATTTAATATATAACACACTGAGTATTATAAGCCAGAAAATCAAATGTTTTCATTATTTATAATTTTGATTTCAGCTTCTGTTATATCTCCCTTTGTCTTTGAGTTAAAATTTGTGTTTGATAGATTGAATGTGGATTGAATGAACTTGTGCTAATTAAACATTAGATTATTCATGCGAAGCAGCTTTGTAAACCATGAAGTACAGTACAGTGGAAATCTAAATGACTTGAAAAGTGCTCTTTGCTCATCCTATATATAATATGAAAAGTAGACTAAAATTGGCCTTATGGAAACAAATCTAAGATTTCTCTCTCTAGCAGAATGAAATTCATAATTTATAGTATAGATTTTTTTCCTTCACATGCAACAGTAAAAAATGTTTGGTCTGATAAAATAACTGCATTTAAGGCTTTTATTAGTGAAACATCCCAGGGACATAGATCTTTTTTTAGGGGAAAGAGGAGGAATGGAACATAAGTCCCCAGATTATAAATCACTGGGACTTTGTTCACAATATGAATGAAGCACAGCGCCAGAAAGTCATTTTCCAAAAATCAATAGTGTTTGTACTGGAAATGTTTGTAAAAATTATTGGAATACCATCAACTCTGCATGCACTTTGCGGGTCATCTGAGGATAGTATTTAAAACTTGATGGTTTTTCCTTTGCCACACAGTTAATCTCTTACTTTCCCCTTATCAATTCTTTAATAACACAAACTAATTTAGCATTATATACAATATAACATTATGAGCTCCGCTCTGCTTTAAAAAATAATAGAAGTAATTCCAATGTCATACATAAATGGTTCGCCATTACTCTTACCACTGTGGTCTGTTGCTCATATGTACAGTGAAGAGGTGTCTGCTGCTTGTTTTTGTGCACCTGTTGTGCTAAGAGTTTCTCATTTTTAGTTAACAGAATTCACAGTCTTATTTTTATAAATTGCAGGTGGTTTTCATGAGCTTATGCAAAAGTTTTTGGGACTGTGGACTTGTAGCCCTGGATGACATTACAATAGAATTGGGAAGCTGCCGGTCTCCAGGTAAGATGGCCATCTCTTCAGCTCTCTCTGTCTCCCTGGCCTATACAAAGCATTTCTTATTTCTCTAAGAACATACAACATACATTTAATCTGTGCTAGTCCATCCTTTGCTTTCCAGAAGTGCCTTTCTACAGAGCGGTGGGATTTAGAAATGAAGACTCAAATGCAATGTGAGACTTTGTCCCTCATATTCTTATCTGTAAGAGAAGTAGTAATACCTACCTGAATATTGGGGATAATGCCTCAAAATTCTCTAACATGGAAACTGGTACCAAACAGTACGTGCTTTAAAAACAAATACCTCCTATTATAGTTACTATTGGTATTTGTATTATCATTGTCATGCAGAAATGCAGATTTTCAACCAATATGGCTGAAATTTTTTAAGAGCTAAATGTTTTAAGAACACAAAATAATTTAGCATTATACACAATATAACATTACGAGCTTCACTCTACTTTTAAAAAATAATAGAAGTAAATCCAATGTCATATGTAAATGGTTCACCATTACTCACACCACCATAGTATATCATATCCTATTTCCAGGTAAGATACTAAACATATACAAGGTTGGGGGAAAGTGGGTCTGCAGTTGTTTGTATGGAGAATAATCTACACTAATAAAAGAAAAAATTGCTATGTCCACCTTCGCTATGTCCACAACCAATCAAAGTGAGTATGCAAATTAACCCAACCAGATGGAGGCTAATTTGCATATGCAGGCAGGAGCGGTGTGAAGCCTACTATGAGGGGAAGAGGGGCAGCAGAGGGAGCTACTGGAATGGTGCTTCAGACAGTACCGAGGAGGCTCTGGGCGGCTCAGGAGCGGGGACTGGCTGGCTCCCGGGCAGCTGGGGAGCGGGGTCGTGCCGGTTCCCAGTGGGATCAGAGACTTGCTGGCTCTGGGCTGCCCAGGAGTGGGGACGTGCCGGCTCCCGGGCAGCTGGGGTGGGAGCAGAAACTTGCTGGCTCCTGGGTGGCTGGGAGTGAAGCCAGGGGCCTATTCTTGCATGAATATTGTGCAATGGGCCTCTAATACAATAAATAATTAACAGTAATACAAGAATAAACTCTGTGTTTCATGTACTCACAGCTGTAAACCTATCTTTGTTCCAGTCTGTAATTTTAAAATGATAATGTCATAAATATTTTCAAAGCAAATTAAATGACAGCAGAACAATGGGGCAAGCCTTGATGATAGTGACAAAATAAAGATGGCAACCATGTTCAGCATTATGTGTAATGAAAAAAAGGATGGATGCTTCAACCCAGATCATTGGTCTGTATCTACTAATTACCATGCATTCTAAATCATAGGGTATCCATTTCTTTAACAATCTGGCACTGTAGTAGAATAATCTCCATGTTTATTTAATTAAAAGACTATTTGTTTTTAGTCCCTTGACTTGGCAGGGCATTGCAAAGACAAGACAAAGAAGAACAAGATAAAAATCTCCACACGCATGCTGCAGAGAAGGGAATGAAGCTTCATTAGCTTATCCCATATGCAAAATAAAATAAAGTAAAACAGTTATCATGCAAGAGATGTGAAATACAGCCTATTTACTAGAGAAATGTGCTAAGAATCTGAATGTAGAAGGAAGTCCCCAGTAAGTTGGGAGGTGGCACCATCCTACTAATGATAATTATTAAAATTATTGAAGATAGCATCTGAAGAAATAAAATTTGTTTTTAGAAGTAGAAAGTAAGGCTTCAAGTAGCAAAACACCAAAATTAAATATTCATTTAGCTAATATGCATTGAGAACCCCATTTTCTAAAATCTTTATATACATCGCCTCATTTAATGCTTATAACCCATGAGGTGGATAATTAACACCCCCACATTACGGGTATCAATGGTGATGCACACAGAAATTGGAGTGACCTGTTCCACACAAATTAAGCGATGCCTCTAGATTCTAGAGCCTAGAAACACATTTATTTCTCTCGAATTCTTCCTCTCCTCCAAAGCAACTCAGAATTGTCCCGAGGACTCCCTTCACTCATCCTGGATTTTGAAGATAGCTCCTGCATTATGCATTTTATTATTTTCCACATTTCCATAAAGGCAATATACCTCCAATGTTCAGAGCTTTGTAAACTTATTCACATGAATAAATTCACGGTTCAGAAAATAGTTTCTTTCTCAAAGTAGCCCAATCGTTTTGAATGGGCATTTCTATTGTTCTCTGCCTCTGATGGCAGGGCCCATAGTGGAGTTCAGGCTCTAACTGGAGGCAACAGGTGGTGGGCTGCAGGGAAGGGGGAGGGAGGGTTTCCCTCTTCATCAGCAGGGCATATGGCCAGGCGACACTCAAACCTGCAGAGTGGGCTAGCCTGTGGGAGAGCCAGGGCCTACATATTCACTGAAAGTGCCTCCTGCTGTTTTCTTGCAGAGAAGCTTCCCCCTGCGCCTGGAGAATGTACCTTCGAACAAGATGAATGTGCATTTACTCAGGAGAGGAGGAACCGGAGCAGCTGGCACCGGAGGAGGGGAGAAACGCCCACCTCCTACACGGGACCAAAGGGAGACCACACTACTGGGGTAGGTGAGTTACGCCACAGGGTGCTGCTCCCTAAGGAAACCTAGGATGGCATTCTAGGGGAGTCACTGCGCTGTGATGTGCAAATTTATGGCTTGTGTCTAGAATGTGCTACAAACATAATTCAGCACACAGGGGATGGATAATTCAGCATGTGCATTTAAAATTGCTCTTTTCTGCCGAAACTGGTTTGGCTCAGTAGTAGAGCATCGGCCTGTGGACTGAAAGGTCCCAGGTTTGATTACAGTCAAGGGCATGTACCTTGGTTGCGGGCACATCTCCAGTAGGAGGTGTGCAAGAGGCAGCTGATTGATGATTCTCTCTCATTGATGTTTCTGACTCTCTATCCCTCTCTCTTTCTTTCTGTAAAAAAAATCAATAAAATTAAATTAAAATAAAATAAAATAAAATTGCTCAGTCCATGTATTACATGGCTTATGGATCTTGCTGCGAAGAGGAGAGAAATGGATATACAAAGATATGCACATGAAGGTAATTTGATCAGAGGTAGGTTAAAAGGGGTAATGACAAAAATTTTCTTTAAAAAATGGTGATCTCAGCTGGAGCCAAGACTGAAGTTGGTTAGAAAATGTACTGGCAGATGGGGGAGGAGAGTGGTGTGTTTGACTCTACCCTTTCTAGCCGCTGAAACAATGATTGAAAGCCCATCTTTTCTTCACGATTCAGATCCTTTGCAGTTGGTTGAGATACTTTGCTACCCAGCGTATAGTCAATTTAGGTAAATGTTTCATGTATATTAGAAAATCATGTATGCTTGGTTGTTGTTGGATGGAGTGGTCTATCTATATACATGTTGATTGTATCTAACTCCTAATTTTTACTGATATTTTTTATTTTATCTTGTTCAATTCAGAGGTATATTAGTTTTCCCACAATGACTGTGGATTCATTTGTTTCTCCTTTCATTTCCATGAATTCATGCATGCCTATACTTTGGGACCTATGTGTTAGGCACATGCAAGTTTATAATCCTTATACATTCTGGTGAATGAGCCATTTTATTAATATGAAATGTCCCCTTATCTCTGTCATGCTTCTTATTTTAAAGTCCACATTGTCTGATATTAGCATTGCTTCACCAGCTCTGTGTTACTAAGTGTTTATGTTTCTTTCTCTACCCTCTAACTTTCAAATGTTCTGTAAACTTATTTTAGTATGGCTCTTGTATGTGGCAATAGTTAAATTTTATACTGTATCCAGTCCCACAATCTTGTTTGTTTTTTTTTTAAATATATTTTATTGATTTTACGCAGAGAGGAATTGAGAGGGACAGAGAGTTAGAAACATCGATGAGAGAAAAACACCAACCAGCTGCCTCTTGCACACCCCCCACTGGGATGAGCCCACAACCAATGTACATGCCCTTGACCGGAATCGAACCGGGACCTTTCAGTCCGCAGGCCGACGCTCTATTCACTGAGCCAAACCGGTCCCGGCACAATCTTGTGTTTTAATTGCAGTATTTAGATCATAAACGTTAAATGTAATTACCGAAACATTTGGACTTATATTTATTTTCTTAGTATTCTAATCTCTCCTCTATTCGAATGTTTATTTTATACAGTATTTTACTAGTCTTATTCTTTTAACAGTTTCTATACTATTTGTCTTGTATTTTATTTCTATACATTTTAAATCCCAGAAAATATTATTGGATTGGTATTCTTTTATATGAATTCACATATTTCCCCCATTACATTAGTCTTTATTCCTTTATGCATTTTCATGTTTCTCTCTTGAACTATTTTCTTTTGTAGGAAATGTTTTTCTTCTGCCAAAAGAATTTTCTTCTGCATCTAGTTTTTGTTTTAGTGTTGATTCTGGGCAGGGGCAGGGAAAAGGGGTTGGTGTAAATCTGCTAATGATGAATTCTCTCAGTTTTTGTTTGTCTTGGAATATCTTTATTTTTTTTCTCTACATTTGAAAGGTATTTTTGCTAAGAATAGAATTCTAACTTGACCATTACCTATAATTGGAGGCTGCATTTTACCTTTTCACTCCCCATCCCTAAAGCCTATGAATTTATACTTGGAAAACGTACACAAGAAGAAAATAAAAAGAGGAGAGGCATTCAAAGCTGTTTTACAGACAAGTGCAATAGATGGTCAGTAAATATGGGCCCTTTAAATAAAAGGAGAAACTCAGAAAAGCCACCATTTAGATATAACAGTTTACTGTGTGTCTACCAAAATCAACAGAAGCTCATGTGTAGCAATTCCAGGGGAGCTATAGTTTCCTACTCACTAACTGGAGGTGCAATAAAGTTTTCCAAATATAAGGCGTAGCCTGATGTCATCCGGATGAAGAGGGAGCTGGCTTTGCCCCTCTCTGCCTGCACAACCTGGGTTTGTTCACATATCTTTTCTGCGCTTTGGTTTCCTCGTATGTAAAATAAAGATTACAATGGATGTCCTGCTAATCTCCTAGGATTGCTCATGATTAACTGAGATTATATTTGTGAAAAGTCTTGATACTATAAAAGCTCCATTAAATACTATTTTTATAACTGGAAGTCTTTTATAAACTAGCATGTTCATCCCTGGGATACTTTCTTAGACTCATTGTTCTGTGTCATTTGTGTTTTTATAAGTAAAAAAACTACAGTCTATGACTACAAGTAAGATGGCTTCGTAGTTTGGTAGACCTTAAACTAATGTGTTCCAAACCACCACTGGGTAACTCAAGTGGTAGGTGAATAAACACTATTTTTATTTAATTACCTTTTCACTCCCCATCCCTAAAGCCTATAGTAATAGTAGTAATATCCATGTACAAGAGAAATATATAGAAGCTCTGGCTGGGTAGCTTAGTTGGTTAGAGTGTTTTCTCAACATGCCAAAGTTATGGGTTCGATCCCTAGTCAGGGCACAAAAAAAGAATCAACCAATATATGCAAAAATAAGTAGAACAACAAATTTCTACCTCTCCCTCTCAAAGTCAAGCAATCAAGAAAGATTTTTAAAAAGGAAAAATATATAATCAATATATCAAAACCGTTTCATGATTTATAACTTATTTTCTGTTTTCATGCTAATGAGTTTCCTATTTGAATACATGTATTTAAGTAATAAAAATGAAGTCTATTTTAAGAAAATTGTGAGATTAATAATAGTGTAGGTAGTATGAGGACAGCCAAAAATAATATCTTTAAGATGGTATTTGTATGACTAAACTTTGGGAAACATTTCCAATGCGTAAGTAAGTCATCATGTAGGACAAGTCATTCTAGTAGAACGACAGAGACCAAATAAAATAAAAATTCTAGCCCCATCATTTGGCTCCTTCTTTAATAAGAGAATAAAGGCATTTGTGACAGATGGATCTTGACTTGTATCCAGATGGGATGGGCTCCACGAGATTTGTCTCTCCATTTCCTGTCACCATCTACTTGAGTGGCTCTCTCCTGGCAGAATCAGTATGTTTTCTGAAATAGCTACTACTTTTTTTTTCTTTTTCTTTTTTTTTTTTTTTTTTTACCAGATGTAAAGACCAATCTTAACAAATTTTCCAGATTTTTATTGGCTATTGCAATTTATTAACACTTATTTGATAGCAGGCTGTCAGAATTTTTTTTTTAAACAATTGCTTTAGTTGTCCTGGAATTTACAGAAATTTTCTAACCAAGAGATAATATATAAATCAACAAAGAACTATGCAGTTTAGTAAGAAAATGACTTCTATGTAACATTTCCTAGCTCACTGAGTTCACCAGTAAATAGATTAAAAGTGAAGTCCTCCTTTCTCCTCACCCCAACTACATCCTAGAAAAACAGCTATTCATCATTCTCTTAACAATTTCCTGAGGAAAAAACACCATCCATTTTTTTTTTCTGGCACTGTTTAGTGCTTCAATACATCTCCTGTATTTCTGGCAATTAAATTCTCTTCCAACAAACTACTAAGTAAAGGTAGAAGTCATTTCTATGGACACTCCCTTCTTGTGTGATAGAAATAACAAAGTTGTATTAAATGCCAAATAACATTTACTTATAAAATTATGCTGTCAGACAAAAGAAAACCAGAATTATATTTACTACTAGAGGCCCAGTGCATGAAATTCATTCATGGATGGGAAGGTTAAGCCCAGCCTGCACCCACTCCAATTGGATACCCCTCTCACAATCTGGGACCACTGGCTCCTAACCACTCACCTGCCTGCCTGCCTGATTGCCCCTAACCCCTCTGCCTGCCTGCCTGCCTAATTTTTAACTATTTTTATTTAATTACCTTTTCACTCCCCCAACTGCCTCTGCCTGTCTGCATGATCTCCCCTGCTTCTGCCTGCCTCCTGATCACCCCTAACTGCCCTTCCCTGACAGCCTGATCGAGCCTCTGCCTGCCTGATCACTCCTAACTGCTCTCCCTTGCTGGCCTGATCTCGCCCCCAACTTCCCTTCCCTGCTGGCTTGATCCTGCCCCTAACTGCTCTCCCCTCCTGGCCTAAACACCCCCAACTGCACCTCCTCTGCTGGCCAATTTGGTTCTGATTGTTCAGTTTCTATGCCAGTCAACATCAAAAGTGCCACCTCCTAGCTACTATTGGCTCCTCACAGTTGACCCAGATTTGGTTCTGATTGGTCAGTTTCTATGTCAGTTAGCATCTCTGGGCCTATCAATGGGGCCTGATCAGAAAGGCTACTGATCAGCGGCCAGGTGGAGGCCTGGAGAGAAATGGAGGTGCAGCTGTTGGCCAGGCTGGGAGAGAAAGAGAGGCAAATTCTGATCAACAGCTGTCACAGAGGCTACAGATCAGACCCTGCCTCTCTCTCTGCATGCCTCTCTCTGGGCCTGATCTGCAGCCCCCTAGGCAGTCAGTGCTGTGTTGGGGAGCTGGCAGCAGCCCCAGTCAGTACTGGGTCGCCATGGTAACCCAGCACTGATTTCTGGTCTGGTGGAGCCTTTGGTAGTAACAGTGGTTACAGCCCTTTATTATGTAGATGTTATACAGCAGAAATTTTAACAATCTAATTCAAGTCCTTGTCCTATAAGAATTTTGGTAAACCTGTAATGATGCTCCCCAATTATTCTGTAACCATTTGATCAGTTTCAGATTATCAAAATCTCCAATGTCCTTCAATCTTTCAGTGATTATCTCACTAGTTTCTGATAATGTAATATTCTACTTACACAGAGAAGGCTTTTATGACAAGCTTTCTTAAAAATTACAATAAACTATGCATAATATAAAATCAATTATTTTCATTATCTTTAAGTGTATAATAGTTCAGTAGCATTAAATCCATGCACATAGTTGTACAAGCATCACCACTACACCTGCAGACTTTTTCATTTTCCCAAACTGAAACTTTGCCCCATAAACAATAACTTCTCATTTATGATAAGCTTTAAAAATCATTTAAAAGATCAGATAAGCCCAGCAGTGTGGCTCAGAGTTGAGTGTCTACCTATAAACCAGGAGATCACGGTTCAATTCCCAGTCAGGGCACATGCCCAGATTTCAGGCTCGATCCCCACTGTAGGGCATGCAGGAGGCAGCCAATCAATGATTCTCTCTCATCACTGATGTTTCTACCTCTATCCCTCTTCCTTCCTCTCTGAAGTCAATAAAAATATTTAAAATAAATAAATGGGATGATAAAAAGCAATTTAGAGACACATCTAGCAGTTGTTCTTCTCAAAGATGTCTCTTTTCCGGGGTTGTTTAGAATCCTCTTCCAGCTCAGTGAGTGCAGCGAGCTGTTCATTCCACATGGCCTTGCACAGGCCGCTAGCTCCCTCCCAGCCCTGGAGCAGGCGCTACGAGGCTGGAGGAGCAGCTGCGTGGCTGTTCCCGATTATGAATGTGGTGTGTGTCTTCCCATCACAATTGCTGGGCAAAGAACATATGGGGCCCTGATCTCCCAATCGACCCATTGGAACCCCTCTTGGATATTAAACAATGACCCACAGAAAGAAAGTGATTTGTTTTCCCCAGTTAATAATCCCTTCCACAGACTGGAGTCACTCACGTGCAGGAACACGTGAGCTGGCCTGAGGTTTCCACGCTGGGGCTCTCTGGCTTCCACCCAGAGCTTTTGTTTGCTGAGACGGACAGCATTTGGAGTAGTAATGTGGCAAAGCTTGTCAACACACGGCGCTTTTCTCTGCCTTCCAAGCACATGTGAGGCAGCCTGTCTCTCCGGGAAGCTCTGATCTTTTCTGGGGAAAGGAAGTGTCACATGCAAGACAAAAAGAAAAACATTTGGACTCAGAGAAATAATTGGTTTGTGTATCAGAGGGGCAAATAGGTTATAGTTATTTGTAGGGATAGATGTTAGTCCAGAATGGTCTAAATCAGTATTGCCTTATGGAATATGCATATGGGCTTAAAATAAAAGCCCTGAAGGGTTTTTGGAAAGACCACAAGAAAAGAAGGCTGGTGTCTATGCCGGGGAAAGGCAGTTGTACTTACTTTCCCCTGCATGGTCCCCCTCCCCCCAAAGCGGCCCAGTTACACAGATCAAACAGCTTAGGAAATTCCTTTCATATTTCATGGCACTAAACACAAGGACCTCTGGAACTGGAAACCTTAGGTTGTGGTTTCAGCCACATACCTTAGACCCAGAGATGAACACATTACCTAAGTAACACTTCGTGCCTTGGGGGCTAAGTGGTCAGTGCACGGTACTCAGGAAAGAAAGAATTCCATTGGATAATCCTAGAAGTGATTAGGACTTTTCCTCCCTCCTCCGAGATCTCAGACCAGTTGTGGCTGGGACTCTTATATACTTCTTGGGTCATCTCTCCTCCTGATAGATCCATTGCTTTCTTTGCATTGTGGAAAACAACAACAACAACAACAACAACAACAACAACAAAACAAAACAAAAAAACTTTGTTTCAGGCCCCAGGAGTCCCTACTTTCCATTTTCCCAGTGATAACATCTTCCTTCCCCTCCCCACCTCCACCCCCATTGAGTGTTTCATCTTTAGCCAAAATTCTTTACTTAGGATTCCTAAAGCCAGGCATTATTTCCTTAAAAATTACTTTTTGGAGAAAATGTTTTTTAGGTTAAACATTCATTAAGATAGGATTTCAATCCATGTGTCACTAACTTATGTATAGAATAGAAAGGGGGGGAATAGAATGGGATATCTTTAACATAGTTAGATGATAAACCATGGTCATTTCATGTTTTGGTCTTATTTTCCATGGAATTAAATCAAATGTACCCTTCTAATAGGATAATGTATATATGTACATTGTTTACATTTAGCCTAGCTTTTGTTAGTAAACCATAAAGAAAAGAACAATAACAGTGTCTTTCCTTGCTGACATGCAATGACTGGATTCTAGGCATATTTTGAAGGCAGAGCCAACAGGAACTCTGACAACCTGGAGTGAGAGGAGGCCCACGTTTGGGTCTGGCCAACTAGAAAGGCTGGAGGAGGCTTTTAGGTAAAAAGCTGTTAGGAGTTTACTTTTGCACACGTTTCAACTGAGATGTCTACTTGACAATAATACATGGAGATATCCAATCAGGCAGTTTGAATAAACAAGTCTGGATCTCAACAAAGAACTTGGAAATTTAAATTTGAGAAATGACAACATATATAACATATAAAGCCATAAAACTAGATGCAGTCAAAGGAGTGAGAATAGAAAAGTTCAAGAACAGGGCCTTGGAGCACCCCCAGGTCACAGATCAGAGAGGAAAGGTTAACTAGCAAGGAGTGACCAGTGAAATGGGAGTAAAGCCAGGACAGTACAGTGTCCTGCAAGCCAAGGTCAGAAAGTACTTCTAGGAGGCAGACATGACCTACTTTGTGCAGTGTTACTGGTGGCATAAGAATGTCAAGGACCTCAAATTGACCATTGGTTTTAGTAATGAGGATCTGATTGGTGAGCACTCCAGAAACGTGGACAGGATTTTTCCTAATATTTTAAAGCAGATCATGGGAATGATTGGTGGCAATGAAGGCCACATCCCGGGGCTCTGCTGGTCCAGTGTTCCATGTGATAACTGTACTGGGGGAAAGTGTTGCACAGTGCATACAATCTTATAAGAGTGAATTGGGCAGGTCTCGCACCCTTTTAATAGCCAATAGGAGTGCTCAGATCCGTGTTTGTATAAATGATGAATATGGGTTCAGAGAGCATACTTCATTAGACCAGGATCACAGAGATAATATGAGAGTGAAGACTTGAACCCAAGATCTCCCTGACTGCAAAATCTCTGCTCTCTCCCCTAAACCCATGCCTGGGAGCTTCACAGTATTGTCCGTAAATTTAGTAGACCAAATTCTGATATGTTAATCAACGTATCAGTGGTATGATACCAGTATATTAACTAACTCCCATATATGAAACTGAAGTATAAATTATTAAATGAAAAAAATTATTTCAATGGACTAAATTTTGTAGCATGTTTATTCTGCTTGGATTATACTTATTCTCCAAAATGATGATATCCTTTATCAGCACTATAGTCAAGCCATTCATTTACTCTAATTTGTTTCCAGGAACACTCCTCCAAAGAGAAAGAGAATATAACCTGTGTCCTTTTTAACAATACCTGCTTTTTGCATTGCTCTCAAGGCTACTACATGTACATCGAGGCCTCCCATATGGTGTATGGACAAAAGGCACACCTCTCATCCGGGCCTCTGCGAGGAGTCACTGGGAAACACTGCTTGGCCTTTTTCTACCACATGTATGGAGCGGGGACCGGCCTGCTCAGTGTTTATTTGAAAAAAGGTGACAGTGAAGAGTCCCTCTTATGGAGAAGAAGAGGCGAACAGAGCATTTCCTGGCTCCGAGCGCTGATTGAATACAGCTGTGAGAGACAGCACCAGGTATGCCAAGAGAGATAAGACTCCAGTAATGGAAAACATTCCTGTAAGCTTCTGATGTCCTATCTATTTCTTGCTACCAGAGAGAATGTTTTGTTCTCTCTCAGGGTCATAGATAAAGGCAGTGCTTGTTTAAGAGTAAACATAGTTAGTCTCTATTGATTAAATCTAAGCAAGTGAATGGAAAATTAGGCTTTGTGTATTTGTGCCTAGAGTGATATTTGCAGCTCCACGATGAAAGTTTATCTATTTTTGTCTTGGTATATTATGCGCGTCAAGTACATTCTATGAGTCCTGCAAATCTATAAAACAGAGTTTCCCTTTCTTCTAAACAAGCCATTAGCTCATGAGCTGTTGCAGCTGCATCATTCACTCCTCTTTACCCACAAACAAGGGCTTGTGTTGGAAGCCTACATTTACCAGAGTACATGGTTCAGAGTAGATTTTTAAGTCTCTGTCCACCTGGGTGCGGAAGAAACTGAGAGTATTGATGCTAAATCCTGGGTCTCTCCCTGAATCTCTTCGTGTGCTGCAGAAGACCTTCGTCCTGAAGATCCTGGTTTTAAGGGAATCTGAGCAGTAATGGGAAAGAGCCTTTTCCGTTCCAATAGAAGATGTTGAGCAGCCAGTTTAGTCTAGATCAGCAGGGGCCCCCTAACACCACTGACTTCACCTGTCCCCATGCACCAAAGTTTCAGAAAGCTCTTGAGGAGCGAACCTTCAGACCACAAACTGCTCCTGAACTTGCTCTGAGCGGTTCTCAGGTGTGACCTTCATCTGAAAGCCCTGCTTCCTCCTCATCCTTGCTTCCGGCTGATAGCCCTCCTGGACCAGTGCCTCTCAACTGTTACCACAGGCTGCTTGGTCTAAGCCTAAGTCTTTGTGGGAAAAGTGTCAAACGTAAGGACTTCATTGTATATCACCTACAACCACAATAAGTTTTCTGCAGATCTAAATGGGGAGGAATTTGCAGAAGCTCAGGTGGCCAGGTGGCAGTGCCATCTAGGGTGCAGCATTGCTAAAGACAAATAACAGAGGGAAGATGTGCCATTTTCCAGGGGTGGCCCGTTACCTCAGAATGGATAAAAATGCCTAGAAGTTTAGTAAAGAATAGATTGCCCCAAGGATTATTTTGATAGTGACTTAATGTGTGTTTACAGAAGGAAAGTGGATCACTCAGGAACTTGCTAATATAATTGATCACCATTCAGAGGTGATGGATTAATTTTGTTAGGCTTTTAGGGCACCAAACCCTGTTCTGATGTTTTCAAAGTGTGGTCCCAAGATCAGCAGCAACACCTGAAGTGCAAATTCACCTAAAAATGAAACTCACCTGAAATGCACATTCTCAGGCTCCACTCAGACAGAAACTCTGGGGGTGGGGCCCAGACATGTGTGTGTGTATGTGTGTTTTGTTTTGTTTTTTTAAAATATATTTTATTGATTTTTTACAGAGAGGAAGAGAGAGGGACAGAGAGTTAGAAACATCGATGAGAGAGAATCATTGATCAGCTGCCTCTTGCACACCCCCTACTGGAGATGTGCCCGCAACCAAGGTACATGCCCTTGACCAGAATCAAACCCGGGACCTTTCAGTCCAAAAGGCCGACGCTCTATCCATTGAGCCAAACTGGTTTCGGCAGAAATGTGTGTTTTAACAAACCCTCCTGGTGGCTCTGATTTATGCTCATGATGGAGCATCTCTGTCTCTCGGGAGGAGCCTGAGTGTTGATGTTTTTTAAAACCCCCAAGTGATACTGATGCACAAGAGTAAGGGAATCCTAGTTGAGTTCTGGGGAATGGGTGACTTCTCAGCATCTAAGTCCAGGCCTTGCATCTATGAGACTTGCTGGGTCGCTGGTTCTCTGAAATGTTTTTTGAGCACGTAGTAGTGAGGCACCTTGGGGGTGCTCAAGTTCAAAGGGAACAGAATGGCCTGAGAGATTTATAGCTTACAATCTGGAAGAGTCCATGCTCTTTGGCTTAGGATGAAACAGTTATGAATCTGCCTGAGGGGTTTTCTTCTGGAGTTAGTGATTTCCCAAAGGACTGTGTGGAGACTGAACCAATTTCCTCAAAACATCCTCGTGTCTAATCACACAGACACACACACCCATGTGCAAGTAGAATGGCCATCTTCTGTGTACCAGGCACTTACAGCGCTCAGAGTCATGCATAAGTTCTTCCCATTGATCTTAGAGCTCTTTCTCACAGATGAGGAAACCATGTGTCCAGCTGTAAGGGGCAGGGGGAGAACTTGATCCCAGATCTGACTGGTTCCAAAGTTTGTATCTCTAAACCACTGTTCTACACTCACTCCCACCATAGAAGTTCCAGATTACTCTCATTCTCCTGATGTCACCAGCATGGGGCGACCTTGGAGAAATTTCATCCCCTCTGGGATGGCTTATATATTTTCAAAATGGGGCAATGATTCCTGCCAGGATGACACCACCCTAGTCAGAGTGAGGGTCCAATAAGATTATGTGTGTGAAAGTGTTTTACAAACTTTAAACTACCAAAATAAATATGAGTGGTGGACATATTTCAGTGAGTTGAGAATGTAAAAGATGAATTATTGTTTCTAGAAATAGCATTCCCTCTAAACCTCTCTGATCTCTAATTTATATCACCACGACTGACCTGGTATTCTCAATCAGGCAGCCAGACCAAGCTCCTATAGGACAAGGCCAAACTCACTCGTTTTAACAAATATTATTGACCATTTGCCGACCTAGTAAATGTGTACATCATCGGTAAGGGTAGGCTGGTGGGGATGATTTTTAGGATGCTGTAATACTGTGACTTGAGACTCATCCTATGGGGAAAACATATGGGTGTCCTCTGATGACATTCAAATCATCAGGTTATCCTATCGAAGATGTGTTATCAAGTAGCAAAATTTTAAACATACTCCTTCCTAAGGGATTTATTAAAGTGCTAAGCAGAATCTGACTTGGCTATTGATCAAAAACACAAAATGATTTTACTTCCTTTGGGTTTTTGGCTTATCCTTCCTTCCTCAACTGCTTTCGGGTGTTTTCCTCTCTGGTTTCTTATATTTTGCTGCAAGTGAAAGAGAGTATTTGACAGATTCTCAACTCACTGAAATATGTCCACCACTTATATTTATTAGACTGCCTAACATTTCCTTGGAATCATTATGTGCCAGGGTACTCAGCTAAGCCCAGGCGCCCAAATTTTCTTGTTCATGGTACCCTTTGTCTCAGTTAATTGTTTTCTGGTGTAGAAAGACCTAACAGTTCCATTTATTAAGTAGTTGGGTTCAAACAATTTAATAAGTATTTATGTCCTCATGACTTAATAGCCATCTCAAAAAATAATACTTAAATTAAAAAAATAATATTTTTATCTTATTCTTAAATAACCACAATTATTTACTAATAGGATGTATATCCATAACACAAGGGGAAAATCATAATGCTATAAAACAGTTATTACTGTGCCCTAACTAGTTTGGCTCAGTGGATAAAGTGTTGGCCTGTGGACTGAATGGTCCCAGGTTCGATTCTTGTAAAGGCCATGTACCTTGGTTGTGGGCACATCCCCACTTGGGGATGTGCAGGAGGCAGTTGATTGATGTTTCTCTCGCATCGATGTTTCTAACTCTCTATCCCTCTCCCTTCCTCTCTGTAAAAAAAAAAAAAAATCAATAATATATATATATATATATATTTAAAATAATTATTACTCAAGTATTAAGGAAATTCAAAGAAGTTTTATGAAATCAAGTGTTTTAGCCCAACCACAGACTGTTAAGAATATAATTTCATCAAGCAATTTGTCTATTGTGTTTTATATTGTAGACTTGATGGTCAAAAACCAGGTTTTATTGTTTTTCAGAAAATCAAAATGCTTATTAACTACACTCATATACCCTACTATATAGATTTGTTAAAACATTTTTAAAAACTCTTCTTGACAATGATTTGGAACTTTATTTAGGGTTGTGTCTTTAGAATTTCTATTAATGTTATTTTGCCACATTCTTTGAGTCATTAATTTCAAGATCATCTCATATGTTTATTAATTATCCACTTTATATGCTTTGATTTACTTTGAATCATAAACTGGTCCACTGGGGAGTCATTTGCTCATTAAATGAATAGAGAAACTGTGTCTTCTGGATACTTTTTATTACTCATAGCCTCCCTTGAGTACTCAGTGGTTTATTAACCATAGTTGGGCTGCCTTGGAGATTACAATGTAATTGATTTACCCTAAACTTGAATATTGGATTAGTTATTTTCTTCTTAGGATCTAAAGTCATAAAACTGGCTTCCTCTTCATCCTGGGCTTTCTTGGATGTCATGGTATTTAACACGATAAGTGAAACATTGGCTTTTTTATAAATTTAATGATTGTGCTTTGCTGTTCATACACGGGTATCATCAGTCATATTAAATTCTTCCATCTAGCGCCAGGATCAAGGGCAGATTTGTGGAGACCCTATACTTCTGGGCCCATCACCCTCATAGGCCCTGAGTGCTAGGAGTAGAATGTTCTAGGAGGGGAAGGGAAGCCAGGTCATCACCAGGAAGCATTGCAAGGCGAGCATTTCTAGGAAATTACCTAAAGGAATCTCAGGAGAAAAGGCTCTGAATTTCCACGGCTCCAGTAATTTGTGAATTTCTTTACATTAGAAATAAGTATTCTCTTTGGTACCTAAATTTGAAGTTGTGATTTTATATTCTCTTTCTTAAAGGGATCCCTAAGAACAGGCTAAGCTTCTAGGCCCATATAACCTGGATCTGTTCCTGATCGGCCTTATTTTATCAGGATGACTCTATTTCTAAATTCAAACTTTATTACTTTTCAGATAATTTTTGAGGCCATTCGGGGAATGTCAATAAGAAGTGATATCGCCATTGATGATGTTAAATTTCAAGCAGGACCCTGTGCAGGTAACAGTATTTTTCCAAATCACATAAACTTGATTGAAAAGGGATTTTGCAACAGTCTTAAATGAAAAGAATGCAAATTCGGTAATTTTCTACAATAAAAATAGAAGAAACTATTATTGTCTATTTATCTCCTGACAGAAATGGAAGATATAACTCAGCAGTCATCAGGATATTCTGAAGATTTAAATGAAATTGATTATTAAGAAATAACCTGAATTGGATTAACTAAACAAAAGCATTACCTCTTCAATCAAAATGAAAACAACACAAATGAATACTGGACAGTCTTAACTATTTTATAAGTTATAAAATGACATCAGAGCACTCTTCGTTACTTTTGCAAAAAATACTGACTCAGGGCTTTCTTTCTTTTTTTTTTTTTTCATATGACAACTGTTACTAGAGGTACAGGCTGCTGGTTTTGCATAGATCACTCATCTTAATTTTGGTATCAGTTAAAAACACAAATGTACTATACTGTAGTCATTTTTAAAGCACACAAGTAAAAGGCACAATCAAAATGAGATGTGCTCACTTAAGTCTGCATTCAGTGAATGTATTGGGAGGAGGAGAAGTCTGGGGGTTTCCATTTGAATTTCAAATATCGTAAAATGTTTTAAGAAATAATGTGGGTGTCAGTAATATCTGCAAAATGAATGCAGTTTTTATGGTCACAAGTTAGCCTAAGAATATAAAATCTTATTTTCTATGTCTTATTCATAGAAATGGAGTTTTGATTTTTAAATATTTCTACTACGTGTTAGTTAACAAAGGATCTTTCACGAGTGTCCCAGGTGAAGTCAGTATTAATTAATGCTGTATTACAAGGCAATGCTACCTTCTTCCCCCACCCCTTAGACTACTTTGGAAAGTCACTATGAACACATGGATAGAAATTGCACTCTTTTTTTATAAAGCAAGCTTGAAAATAATTATGTACACACGCCCCAATTTTTTTTTAAGTGTGTTAAACAATTTTATTGATTTTTATAACAAAGGTTTTGTAAGATTTTGAGTAATATAAATGCCAGCAGAAATAATAAACTACTGCTTTTCACGTTTAGAAAATTGTATATACATGTTTATATACCTAAACAGCTGTTATGAAATTATAGAATATATAATAAAAGGTAATTTGAAAATCTTTTCACTGGCAATTAACTCATTTCTACGTTATTTTTTGTTGTCAGAATATCTTTACTACTTAATTACAGATTCCAATTTGAATTTCTACTCTGCCATAACTAACTGTTTCTCTCTTTTATTTGTATCAGACATTTTATTTTATTTTTTAATTTTTTTCTTTATTGATTAAGGTGTTACATATGTGTCTTTATCCCCTCATTGACCTCTCCCCGCCCACTTTCCTCCCCCCCATTCACGCCCTCACTCCTTGGTGTCTGCATCCATTGGTAAGGCTTATATGCATGCATACAAGTCTTTTGGTTGACCTCTCCCCTTACCCCTGCCCACCCTGACCTTCCCTCTGAGGTTTGATAGTCTGATAAATGCTTCTCTGTCTCTGGATTTATTTTTGTTCATCAGTTTATGTTGTTCATTATATTCCACAAATGAGTGAAATCGTGTGATATTTATTTCTCTGACCGGCTTATTTCATTTAGCATAATGCTCTCCACGCTGTTGCAAATGGTAAAAAATCCTTCTTTTTTACCGCAGCGTACAGTAGTATTCCATTGTATACTAGTAGATGTACCATAGTTTTTTAATCCACTCATCTGCTGATGGGCACTTAGGCTTTTTCCAAATCTTAGCTGTGGTAAATTGTGCTGCTATGAACATAGGGGTGCATATACCCTTTCTGATTGGTGTTTCTAGTTTCTTGGGATATATTCCTAGAAGTGGGATCACTGGGTCAAATGGGAGTTTTAGTTTTAGTTTTTTGAGGAAACTCCATACTGTTCTGCACAGTGGCTGCACCAGTCTTCATTCCCACCAGCAGTGCATGAGGGTTCCTTTTTCTCTACATCCTAGCCAGCACTTGTCATTTGTTGATTTGTTGATGATAGCCATTCTGACAGGTGTAAGATGGTACCTCATTGTTGCTTTGATTTGCATCTCTCAGATGATTAGTGACTTTGAGCATGTTTTCATATGTCTCATGGCCTTCCTTATGTCCTCTTTCTAAAAGTATCTATTTAGGTCTGTTGCCCATTTTTTGATTGGGTTGTTTATTTTTTGTTAAGTTATGAAGATTGAACCCTTATCAGTGATAACATTGGCAAATATATTCTCCCATGCAGTGAGCTTTCTTACTGTTTTGTTGATGGTATCTTTTGCTGTGCAGAAGCTTTTTATTTTGATGTGGTCCCGTTTGTTTACTTTCTCTTTAATATCCATTGCTCTAGGAGCTGTGTCAGTGAAGATATTGCTTTGGCATATGTCTAAGATTTTGCTGCCTCTGTGGGTATCTCTAATATTTTTATGGTTTCTCTCTTACGTTTAAGTCCTTTATCCATTTTGAGTTTATTTTTGTGTATGGTGTAAGTTGGTGATCTAGTTTCTTTTGTTTTTTTTCCATGTATCTGTCCAATTTCTCCAACACCATTTGTTGAAGAGACTATCTTGACTCCATTGTATGTTCTTGCCTTCTTTGTCAAATATTAATTGAGCATAGTGGTTTGGGTTGGTTTCTGGGTTCTCTATTCTATTCCATTGGTCTATATACTAACTGCTTCTTAAGCCTTTTACTAGTGACATAGCACTGCATACATTGATGGAATAATTGATTTTTAAGTGTTTTCACATAAACAATCTCAATGCCCCCCCCAAAAAAAATTTTTATATTTTTAGAATATAAACTGTATGAGGATGAGGACTCTGGCTTGTTTTGTTTACCTTTGTAATCTCAGTACTCAGAAGACTGTCTAGTATATAATAGATGCTCAATCAATACTTGCATGAGTGGATGGAAGGAAGGATGGATAGGTGGGTGCATGGATGGATAGATGGATGAATTTAATCCTTTCAACACCCTCCTAGCTGGAGATATTATTATCCCTTTTCAAAGATAAGAAAACCAAAGTTCAGAAGAATGAAAAATAATATAGCTGTTAAATGAAGGAACTCGGCATCAGGTCTCTCTGCCCCCGAAGCCCATACCTCTTATTGCTTTGTGTATCCCCAAATACATTGTTCTGATGGAAGATTTCCCACAAAATTCATAAATTAACCTATAAAGAACATTATATCTCCCTGAACACCACATTACTTAGAAAAAGAAAATACTCAACTCTGCAAAATAAACACTCTGAGATTTATGGAGAAAATAAAATAAACTTTCATAGTAAAGCAAAATTTTGTAAACCAAATCCATCCCAGTCATGATGATTAATTATCATAGCAGGGAAATCCCTAGAGTTGAATCACTGGGAAAGGAAGATTTCAAGATGTTGACCAATTCAACAGCATACTAGACCATATAATTTCCTCAAAATGAAATTCCTATCCAGAGCTTAATTATATCTGCTGAATAAAAAAAAATGATGATTGTGTCTTTAGAACCTAGTATTTAGTGCATAGTAAGGGGTTTTTAATAGTGGTGAATGAATTAATTCACTAGCCTCCTTGCTTATGGATTACCTAAATCCATAGTAATCATTTATTTATTGAATACTTACTATTTTTAAGCATTGTTCCAAGAGCTTTACATGAATTCACTCATATTATCATTATGATAACTCATGAAATAGATGTAGGGACATTTCCATTATAAAAAGGGAAAGTGATTCTGTTCAAGTACAGCTGCTAGTGCAGGGCCTAGTTTATTTGTTTGTTTATTTGTTTTTTAAATAGATTTTATTGATTTTGGAGAAGAAGGTAGAGGGAGAGAGATATAGAAACATCAATGATGAGATAGAATCATTGATCGGCTGCTTCCTTCATGCTGGGGATGAGCCTGCAACACGCACATGTACCCTGACCTGGAATCAAAACATGACTTCCTGGTTCATAGACCGATGCTCAACCACACCAGCTGGGCAGAGCCTAATTTTGCACCTCGGTCTGTTTCACTGCCCAACTTGTGTTCTAATCCTCATCAGATTGCCTTCTGAACCTAACTCTAACTACAGCTCCATACACAATACTAATTTAAACTCTAACCGAAGGTTCCACATTTCCCTCACTCAAGAGGATTTATTGGCTGCCAAAATTGTCCCAAAGTTTGCAGAGTCAGGAATACTACTTGGGACACCAGCTTTGGGACTTGTTTGGTTAAGGGGAATTGGGAACTAGTTACTGACTTAGGGCAGAAAGGAAGGAGGTCATTATTGCCATTTGTTGTGCAGAAACAATCTGAAGTTTCTATAAGAGAAGAGAAGAGGTGGAAGGTGAGCAGATCCATTTACCCTCCCTCATGTATGCTCCTTTGGCAGGATTTGCTTTTTGGATGCTTCTCTTCCTTTTCCGGGTTGCCTTTGGCATTCATTTGAACTAAATTGCACCTGGATGGGAAATACGGAAGGATAGTAAACACAGTGTAATTTTCTCGGGTTTAGAAATATCCTGGGAGGAAGGCATACTAACTTAACGGGTAGCACTTAACATGTATCCCCAGTGTTTGCATTTATTCCAGTTTTCACCTAAACACACAAGTGTTTCAGATAGAAACTATTTTTTCACACAATTGTCTTCTCTCGTATAATTTGCTGTCTAGGTTTGAAGGTAGTGACAAAGAGGAGGCTGAGGAAATAGTGGCCGTGGTTCAAGGGCTGGTTTCATGCGGAAGAAGAAAAGGCTCAGCAAAGACTTGAGAAATCTCTGCCCCAGGCATGGGGGTTACAAAGATGCTCACAGCTCAGTGAGCAGAGCAGAGATCTGCACTTGTCAGCACAGTTCAGAGTGCTAAGCACCAAAACGTCATATGCTTAAGGTACTCTGAGAGGGCCTAGCGGGGGGCATCTGACCAGGGACGACAGGCCAGCTTCTGTAAGTCTGGGCAGAGCAACCGATGGAAACCTACTAACATCGACTCTGACTTATTGCCAGATGGGGACATGTTTTCCTGTGTGATTGAACTATTAATAGAACTGGGAGAACTAACGAGTTTTAGTAACTGATCACGCTAATGTGGAGGCATTTTTTATCATGTGGATTGCTATACAGAGGTGATACAGCATAGTGATCAAGTGCACGGTTCCAGATTCAGGCTGTGTCCGTTTAAATACAGGTTTTGCTTTTACAG